TGTATGTGGCTGGCGCCTTAGCCGCTTGAGCCACAGGTGCCGAGCCAAAAGTCTAAGCTTCTTAAAAGAAGAATCAGTTCCCCAGCAGGGGAGCAAGGGAAGAGTATGTATAGACGAACAGAGGTGTACACTGATGGTGTTTTGTGTTAGGGGACCAGAGTTAGTAGTGCAGCTGGGCAAGTAAGAAAGAGGAAAGACATGGTAGGGTGGGCCAGGTAACAGTGGGAGCATGGCCAATGTGAACTACAAAGACCTTAGTGATTATCAGCCTTTTCCAACTAGAATGTAAGTGCGGGGGTCTTTACCAGTTTGACGAAAACATTTCAAATTGTATATAAAACCAGCACATTGTACCCGTGATTGCATTAATGTACATAGCAATGATTTAATTTAAAAACAAACAAACAAAAAAAACAAACAGGGGTCTTTGTTTCCTGATATAGCTCACACTCCTAGCTAGGTACCACATTGATGCCCAGTGAATGTTTGATGAATAAAATACTAAACAAATTATCTAATGTAATCCTCACAAAAATCCCAAGAGGTAGATGCTTTTATCAGCCTTGTTTCTTAGTAGAGGAAATTGAGACCTGAGTTACACTGACCTGCTCAAGGTCATACAGTTTGGAAGTGGCAGAGTGGACTCGAATCCAGCCTGCCCATTCTCTTAGAACCAAAACAGCTTTCTGCATAGGGAAATAACAACTTGCTCTGAGTTTTAAGATAAAACCCTTATCTTGTATGGGGACTAGTCTGGGGAACTATCAGGAGACAGAGGTGAGGGACCTTCAGGGAGGAGGAATTTTGGGGGTGGGTTTCAGATACTCAGGAAGTGACACCGCAGGACCTGTGACGGTGACCAATTTGGGTTTGAGGAGTGCAGAAGATGGAGGAGGTGATGGGTAGGAGGTAGTACCCTGACTAAGACAGCCTCCTCCTTTCTCTCCAGTTTCCAATGGCCCTGTGGAGTCTGTCACGCTGGAGAACAGCCCGCTGGTGTGGAAGGAGGGGCGGCAGCTTCTCCGACAGTGAGTGTACATGGGGTGAGGGGCTGGGGACAGAAGGCACATTTTGCTCAAGAGATAAATCTTCTAGGGACTCCACAGTCCTTCCTGTGGAGGAAGTATCAGAATTTTAGCTGGCCATAGCTGGAGTGGCCTGTCACCCTATAGGGGAGACTTGTCTAGGGCCAAGGAAGGAAGACTCACTGCAGGGAGGTATATGTGAGGACCCCCGTTCTTGTAATGTGACCCTGAATGCCTCTGTGGCATTTCTTAAAAGGATAATGTTAAATTATTTTTTTTACTACTGAAGAGATGTGTGCATTTTGGAAAACTTGGAAAATATAAGAAAGCACAAGGAAAAATAAAAATCACTTGTAATTCCTCCACCCAAGAAATTTCATACCCCCATAAAAATTTTGGCATATATACTAACACTCTCTTCCATGGATATATATTTGTGTGTGTGTGTGTATTTTGTAAAAACTGGGATTTTTCATTCCTTATTTGCTTGTTTTATAATGTGTTGTTTTTGCTAAGAGCTGTGAACATCTCTTCCTATAAATTAGTTACGTTGCATCTTTTTTTTTTTTTTTTTTTTTTTGAGATAGTGTCTTACTCTGTCACCCAGGCCAGAGTGCAATAGCATGATCATAGCTCCCTGTAACCGCTAACTACTGGGCTCGAGCAATCTTTCTGCTTCAGCTTCCTGGGTAGCTGGGACTACAGGTGTGCACCATCATCCCCAGCTAATTTTTTACTTTTTGTAGAGACAGGGTTTCACCATGTTGCCAAGGCTGGTCTTCAACTCCTGACCTCAAAATGATCCTCCCACCTGGGCCTCCCAAGGTGTTAGAATTACAGAACTGTATAATCATCTCTCATATGGATAACCATAAGTGTCTACTGCTGGTTCCTTCTTATGCATTTTGTTGATGTTGTTTTGAACTTTTTAGTATTGTAGATAATGTGGCAAACATCAGGAAGATATTTGTGTATTTCCTTGATCTCCTCAAGTTGCATATCTGGAGGTGCAATTGCTAACTTAAAGTGTGCACAACAATAACTCCAAAATGACAATACTAATAATAACAGGCCACACTTACAGTTACCTGTTATTTGCCTAGCACTTGGCCAAACAGTTGCCACACATTGATTCCTCACATAAGTCCCCTTATGGTGTGGTTACTAGTGTCCCCCTCATTTTCACAGTTGAGAAAACTGAAGTGCAAGGGGACGATCTAGTTCTATAAGGTTGCTGAGGCGAGATCTCAGGTAGCCCGACCCCAGA